CTGGGGCCTACCTGCACACACACTGTGAATCCATCACCTACCAGGTGTATGACCTTGGGTCAGGCACTTAAGCCACTGAGCCTGAGCCAGTAACATAAAGACCCTGGCCTGTGTGTGGCAAAGGTTCTCTCATAAATGTGAGAGCCAGGATTCAAACCCAAGTCCAGGGACTTCCCTGGTGGTGCAGTGGCTAAGATTCCGTGCTTCCAATGCAGGGGGCCTGAGTTCAATCCTGGTCAGGGAGCTAGATCCCACATGCCACAACTAAGAGTTCGCATGCCACAAGGAAGTGCCATGACCAACACCCAGTGCAGCCAAATAAAAATTACAAAAAACAACCCCAAATACCCACGTCCTTATTGGCCTCCAGAGCTTGTGCTCTTGCCACAGCACCAATTCCTGGACTAAAAAACTCATCACCTGCTGCTGGGTGGGCACAGGGTGATGACAAGAGTTCAGGAGATCCTTTAGATCTCATTCATGGCTAGGCACCTTTTTGTGGATTTAGGTGAATCATTTTAGCTCTGCCTGGGTATCTGGAACTAGATGATGGACCATCTGATCATCCAGGATTCTTCCGGAATAAGAGATGGGCCAAGAGGCTTCTGAGAGGGAGGAGAGCCAGAGCCCAGGTGCCCCTTACCTGCGTGGTACGCCTTGGCGCTCACGCCCCTGTAGCTGAGCTCTATGGCCAGCTGTTCACAGGCCTCCCTGGTTCTGCAGTAGATGATGCCACAGCCGGACAACTGAATGTGGAGACACAGGGAGAAAACAAGCATTGGGAAAACAAAACCCTCAGCCCATCGTACTGCGGCTGCTTCAAAAGTGGCTCCTTCTCTCAGCCTCATGATCTCCTCTGAGGCAGACCACCTCGCACAGCCCTGCCACTTTCTAACAAGGCGGGACCAAACTGGCTCAAAACACAACCTTTCCAAACTCTCTGCCTCCTCCCCTCAAGCCCCAGAAAGGTCTGCAAAGGAAGAAGAGTCCAGGACACAGGAACCCCAGTAAGTGAAACAATGCCAGGAAACCAAAACTCTTGAGTTTTAAGAAGCTATAGCTGGGGCTTCCACCGCAAGGAGCACAGGTTCGATCCCTGCTCAGGGAACTAAGATCCTACATGCCACACAGTGCAGCCCCTCAAAAAAGTAGCTACAGCTAGTCCTGGCTAAGAAAGCTGGAAAAAAACAGTTTTTAGAAACGAGAATCTATCTTTATGCTGCGGTTAGCATCCCACTGGCCTTTCGACCCTGACTTCGGTGCCCTCACCCCTTTATCAGCCTTCTGCCCAAGAGCCTTCAGGCAGAAGTCCCTCAGGTTCCCGTAAGGATCAGGAAGCAGTTCCTTGAACTGCACGTCATAGAAGAGGTTGGCCCGGAAGCAGGGAGTCTTGAAGGTAGCAACTGGCTGCTTCAGCTGCAGAGCAGCAAACACATCCTCTCGGACCTGTGGGGTGGCCGTGGCGGTCAGAGCCACGCACGGGGCGTGTGCCAGGCGGGAGCGCAGGGCTCCCAGACGCAAGTAGTCAGGGCGGAAGTCGTGCCCCCACTGGGAAACACAATGAGCTTCATCCACCACCAGGTAGGAGAGCAGGTGGCGGGACACTAGGGAGTTCAGGGTGGGCTGGAAGGAGGTGGAGGCCGCCATCTCCGGCGTGATGTACAGAAGCTTCGTCTGGGGCTTTTCCTGCTCTAGGTCAGAGAGCAGCTCCTTCCTCTCCTGCACCGAGAGCTTCGAGTTCAGGGAACCCACTCGGACCTTCAGAGCCAGCAAGTGGTCCACCTGGTCCTAAAGGCAGAAGGGGGAGAGGCCCAGAGCAGACAGTAAGCGGCCCTCAGGACCCGTAAACATTGCTGTGACTCCCTGAGGGTGTTTCACAGGCATAAATTATCCTCCTCCCACCCTCCAACGTGTCTTCTCTTTGCATAAAAGAGGTACAGACGAGGAAGCCATGGAAATGAGGAGCTAGGCAGGCACGGCTTTAATCCAAGCTCAATTACCACATGCTCTTCAGCTGGTCCTTGAACTTTCAACTTTCTCATTTTCTTTCTCTTTACTATAAAAACAGTAAAACTACCTAGTAGAATTGCTGCAAGAATTAAGTGAACTTTTACACCTCAAAGGTAAGTTAACACCCCTCAGACACTGAGCACAGAGCCTGAGACTAGGGCACACTCATGAAGCATGGTCATTGCTGTTCTCTGCCTTGCCTGCTCTCTTTCTCCTTTTCTTCATGGCAGACGGCTCTTACCCACACAGCCACACTTTCTCATTTCTGATTCTACCAGCCCATCTGCAGGGTTTAAATATAGCCAGAAGTACAGTTAACAACATCCCAACAAGTTTCTCATCTGTTTTTCTGTCTCACATCTGTGTGCCCACCAGAAGCAAGCAGAACATACCAGGGATTCCCCCACATCAATTTATCTCTCTACCCATCTGCATCTTCTAGAACATCAACAGTGCATGTGTATATATATGAGAATGTATATGTACATACAAATACAGTTCCATGTTCCCCCAGAAAAAAAGTTACAAAGGAAGGTAAGAACCTCAGGCCATCAAAACAGAGAGGACTCAATCATAAACCACCAGAGTGATATGCACTTGTGGAGAACCCCACATTTAGGCAATTCAGAAATCCAATAGAGAGGGACAAAAACAAATCAAAGAAAAGCAAGAGGCAAAAGACCAATGAAAAGAGAAGTAAAATTTCCAACTACTAAAAAAAAAAGTCCCCTAAACTTTGGGCTGCCATCTTCATTCACCCGAGCCTCACCTGAATCAAAGCAATGAGAGGAGAGACCACGATGGTGATGCCTTTAGCCAACAGGGCAGGGAGCTGATAGCAGAGGGACTTTCCTGCCCCTGTGGGCATGCACACAAACACATCCTTATCACCTGCAAAAAGACAAGAGGACAACACCTCAATGTTCCTGCCTTTTATATATTCCTCTCATCAAGGCTGTTGAAAATTAAAGGATAATGTAAGAAAAACCCCTAGCAGAATGTCTGGCCCATGGAAGGGTCTCAATATAATTGCAATTCTCTTCCCATCCTTTCTAGGAAAAGAGGAGTGATCCAGGGAGATTCAGCAATGCATGCCAATCATTTCCAGCAGTGGTAACAACTACAAGGGTAAAGAGTAGGAGTCTGCTGGGACACGGATGGTTGAACTGAGCTGAATCGGGATTCAACGAAAGCTGAATCCTTCTGGATGGATGAGCATATCTGTGTAGACATGGATACAACATTACTTAAGAGGGATTTTGTTTATAAATGTTACAGTGTCACTGACATTACACTCCTGCTCCCCTCTTGACAACCTCCATCTGTCAACATGCTGCTACTGCTGCTGCTAAGTCGCTTCAGTCGTGTCCAACTCTGTGCGACCCCATAAACGGCAGCCCACCACACTCCCCCATTCCCTGGGATTCTCCAGGCAAGAACACTGGAGTGGGGTGCCATTTCCTTCTCCAATGCATGAAAGTTAAAAGTGAAAGTGAAGATGCTCAGTCGTGTCCAACTCTTAGCGACCCCATGGTCCTCAGCCTACCAGGCTCCTCCGTCCATGGGATTTTCCAGGCAAGAGTACTGGAGTGGGTTGCCACTACCTTCTCCCTGTGTCAACATGGCTCTGGTTTATAATGTTATTACTCCTTCCCTATTTGGGACCCAAGCCACTCAATCTTCAACAAGGAAATTACCTGGAAGATGACTGCCTTAAGACTATTCCTGCCAACTACTGCCCCCCCACCACACACACACACTGTTGTCTACAACAAACAAAAGAGAATGGAAATGTATAAAGTGTTTTCAAAGATAACCTTAGCTCTGACTGTGAACTATCAGAACCAGAACAGTTGGGTGGTTCTGCTGAGAAAACTACGTTTAGGGTGACACATCTACATCTCCAAAACCAAATATGGCCTGAGGGCAGGGAGGTAGGAAGGGTCAGAAGGAAAGTGCCCCACAGCAGCACAAATGTAAACACAGGTAGTCCGGCGACGTTACCTTTCACTACAGCCATGATTGCCCTCTCCTGCAAAGGTGTCTTAAAAGAGTCAAACCCAAAGACCTTCTTCAACGTGTTCCGGACTCGACGCTCAGGGTCAAAAGGAGAGGAAGGGTGGGTACTCATCTTTACCAACAGTGGCCAAAGGTTAAGGCAAAGGTGATGATCATAATGGTTGCAACTAGAAACCTCTGTTCTACTTTTAAAAGACTGCTTATTTCTCTCTATGAGAGAAATGCAATGCACTATTTTCAAATAATATAGCTCCAGGTGAAGAGCCTGGAGCAATACATTCTTGAGTAATTAACATCTCTGTTTTTATGCTCAGTGAAAATAAAATCTTCTAACTATCCCCAGGCCACGGTACAGCGAAGAGCTAGATATCAGATCACGAGAAGAAACACAAATGTCTTAGGAACAGTTTGGAGAAGATGGAATTTTTTTCCCTAAGATCCACCCTCTACTCCATAAGCACTGCCACTGACGACCATTCTTCCCCCCGGGACCTGACCCCTTCTTCCCACCACCCTCTCCCCCACCCCCCGGAGGACAGCTCTCCCCGTTTCTTCTACTCAGCACCAGATCCGCTCTTTTCTCCCTTCCCCAGCCAAAGCCTCCTTCTCTTAACCCCAAGATATCAGAGCCGGCCGTGGGCTCCAAGAAGCGAAGGCTCTTGTCGGGCCGCTGCTGCCCGCTGGCTCGGGGACTACTCGAAGACCCCCATACGCCTCAGGTAACTGAAAAGCCAAACTGATGGGAAAGCAGTGTCGGGTAGATCCCACAGAAGCTTGCGTCCGTCGCGCAGTGATGACGTTCGCAAGCGTTGGCACGAGGGCGGAGCCAGGCATGGAAAGAGCCGTTTTGATTGGTTCTCGGTCTGGAAGGGGCGCGGGGTCTCCTGGGATCCGGAAGAAGTCGCCTTTCTGCGCGGAAGTCGGCTCTTTGGAGTCATAGAAGTGAGCCACGCCGGGGCTGTGGAAATAAGATGGCGGGGAAGAAGAATGTTCTGTCGTCTCTGGCAGTTTACGCGGAAGATTCAGAGCCCGAGTCTGACGGAGAGGCTGGAGTTGAAACGGCGGGCAGCGCGGCTGGTGAGGCCCGAGAAGGGAACTGGAAAGGGAGAATCAGGTTACTGCTCCCCTAGCCGGCGGGAGGGAAAGAGATGGTCATTGTACCCCAAGTATCGGGCCCCGGAGCCCCAAAGGGCACTCAGGGTCCTGGGCTAGACCGAGCGTTATATGCTCTGTAGCACGAATGGACAGTCTCCTTCCGTTAATCCGATTATCCTTCCGTAATTTAGTGAAAGTCTCCGTGCTGGGCAGAAGGATGGACAAAGGGGAGAGAGGATCCAAGGCTACTGAACCACTCCCTGTTTTCTCCGGGCTTGTTTGTGGGGAAGAGCGAACCTTTTAATTAGTAATATGCCCTAGACATATCTTGGAGCTTTGTACCTCCGGTCTCCACCGCGAGAGAGTCTTAATTCAGTAGATCTGGGGAAGGACCTGAGCATTTGTGATCCTTCCAAGGCTTCTTGGTGATTCCGTTACTTTGTGACTTGTTTAAAGCCCATCAATGTTTTGTTGCCGTACTCAGGTTGAGAATAACAGTAGTAAGAAGTGGGAACAGATTTATATGGGAGTGATGAGAGGCAGCAAGTTACTCAACATATTTGAGCCTTGGTTTCCTCATCGGGAAGTGATGGAGGGGCTTGGACTAAGTTAGCGTCTCAGTGCAAGTGGTCTTGGCCTGTCTGGAAGTTCCCTGCTGGTTTCCCAGTAATTTACATTGTTTGGGGGGGTTTGTTGTTTTTGTTTTAAACATTTTGTTGATTTTGTTTCTCAGGTAGATATGATTGGGAACCTCTCAAGGCACCCCTATTTTAAGGTCCAGTTCCTAGGGGAGGACTCACAAAAATGAGGATGACAGAGTCCTCGTCTTGTATGAGAAGACTAGTTCATTGGTGCCTATTATACAAAGTAGACAGAGGCAGATCAAAAGAGGGGCTTAAACAACGTGATGTAACGGTTCAGAGAAAAGAGTTGGCGTAATAGGTGGATTGGAAGCATTAAAAATGAAATTTAATATTACTTGGCTTTCTTTCCTGTTCTTTTAATGAATTCATACACTAAATTTTATAGTCTTCCCCAAAACTGAATCTGGGCCAGTGGTCATTTACATGAGATTTAGGTTTTCCTTGTCTCTTCAGAGATAGTCCTGGCCACTCAAATTACTCATGTTTTTCTCCATTCTTTTCCCCAGTCATTCATCTTATTTTTCTCTTCTGTTTAAGAGGAGAAAGGCGGATTGGTATCCGAAGCCTATGGAGAGGATGACTTTTCTCGCCTTGGGGTTGATGAAGATGGTTATGAAGAGGAGGAGGATGAGAACAGCAAACCGTCGGTAAGTAAATGTATTCCCAAATCCACAACTGCTCAAAGCATCATTTCATCTGTCAGAAACTTTCTGACCTGTACCAACAGTGTTCCATTTCCCCCTCCCCCCCTTGTCTTGTGTGTTTAGTATCAGTTGAGAAAATTGGATTGGATATCCGTAGTTCTCTTTGAAAATCTAATTTTTTTTCACCCGAACCATTTTGTATTAACCTTTGTATTGAAACCTGGGGACAACAATAGTGGACAGTTTTATTTAACCCAGATATCAATAGCTGTTTTATGTTGGTTTTTCCTGTTTAGATAATTTATTCCATTTGAAACAGTGCATTCTTCTCAATTGATGTATCATTTATATCTGCAGTCAATTCTGTGTTATTTGTAATCTCAGTTGGGGCTCATTCAAATCTTTCAGTTTATTAAAAAGACTGGGAAGGACAGTTATCTGTGATTTGATATTTATTAAATCCTTTCTTGATATTCTACTTGGCACTTTTTATCAGAGTGTTCTTGATCATCAAATCTGGCTTAAAGTTTAGTATGTGCTGACTAGCAAAGAAAAGAGAACTTGCATCTTAATTTAACCAGAAAGACTTTAGGTACACCGTCACCTAAAATTTAAAAGTTGGAGAATTTAAGTCTAGGGAAAAACAAGGATTCAGACTGGGTACTTAACACAGACATACAAACTTGTATCTCAATGTAAAATCTGGCTGGTTAGCAACAGCTTTAATTAAAACACCTAATGAATTGGTGATGGACAGGGAAGCCTGGCGTCTGCTGTCCATGGGGTCGTGCAAAGAGTCAGACATGACTGAGCAACTAAACTGAACTGAATGTTCTATATGTTATTTGTTTGAAACTGTTATGCATTGCTACATAAACGTTAAGAGTTAAAATGCTTTGCAAATTAAACAAAAATGCGTTTTGTATATTCTGTTCTTTTGGAAGATATTTTTATCCCTTGAGGTTTCCCCTTCCCCATTATTGCTGATAATTCAGAATTGACTAAAATTGTTTAGAAAAGTTTTGTAAGTTGTTTCATTTTCCTGACTGTTCTTAAGTGAGTACATACTGGCTTAACATCCAATAACTATTTCCTTCAGCAGATTTGCATGATGTGTGTTTTTGAGGTGTTCCTCTGCATTTACTTTGCATAGAATTTTCACCATATTTAAGCTTTATTTCACACTTTAGTAAAAGCCTCGCATCCAGTCCCAATATAGACATTCTAAAATGTGATTGTATTTAGCTGAGCTACATCTCTGATTATTTGTCCTGATGGGTTTCATTTGCAGCAGATTGTCTTTAAAATCTGTGGCTCTCTTGACACCTTGCAGAACAATTAAATCTCAAAACCATCAGGCTAGTTGAAGTCTCTCAGGTGGTGGTTATTTTAACCTCTGGTGTGCTCTTTGATATGGGGAGGGGGCATTTAGGGTGATTGAAAACAGCAGTTTCAAATGAAACTTTCCATTGGATGTGAAATTACAGCTCCCATGCATTGGGGTGTGCTCATAGTGGAACAGACACAGGAGACAGTTGCCTGACAGGGTAGCTGATCTTAGACCTTCATTGGGTTTCAGTGGAATGGTGGGCTAGCTTGTGTGAGGCCGGGGCATGCATTGGAAAATGTTGTGTCCAAATGGTACTCTGTGTCAGGCAGGCCATTTGGATAAGGAACAAGGCTGGCTAGAATGGGTTAGTTCTCCAAAAGCTTGGATGGAGGCGGGGCCCCCTCAGCTGGGTCCCAGGAAGTCCTGACTTTCCCAGTTCACTTGCCCTTGTCGTTTGATGCCTGCCTTCCTATTGTTCATGCTGATGTGCAGATGTTGCTGGGTTGATGCGCTCGGGTATAGCATTGGGGTGAGGGGTCATGGCACTCAGGCGAACGCTGTCGTGGAGTTCTGAGTCTGATGTCTTTGTGTACATGAAAGGCAAAGAAGGAAAAAAAGATAGCTGTACTTTGAAATCATGGGTATTTCACTGGCAGTGCCATGCCTGCTTTATCCTATGGGGCCTGAACTTTTCTCAAGCATATTGCAGCCTTTCTCTGTTTTTGTGTGTGTAGTCTTTAATCTTAGGCATTTTCATTGATATAGACTATGACCCTGCTGGAGTAAGGACTTTGAGCGGCTGATGTTCTGTTTTTCTTACCCAGAACATCTCTTTTTCCCTTTCTCTTTCTCTGGAGCCTGGGTCATATGGTAGGGGAGGGATTCTTGGTGGGACGACCCAGGCTGGGTAAATTTGCTCCATACCCTAATTATGCATGTGAGAACCTCAGGCCCACTCCTTTAAGCTTAATCCTCTAAATTCTTTGTCTTGTAGGAAGATGACGATTCAGAGACTGAAAAACCTGAGGCTGATGACCCAAAGGTATTTGGTGTTGGCTATGGTGGGGTGGCTGGATATGAGCAAGGCATTTTTAACTCATGGCTCAGTTCATATGTCTGGTTCCAGATCTGTCCCACTAACATACCGTGTAACCAGTGTAATTTGGGGGATGGGGGTGGGGATCAACCCTGCTTTAAGAGAACTGGAGACCACCCTGGACTGTCTTGAGGCAGCTTAATTTGAAGCCCCCTCCCTGTTCTCTAAATCCAGGTGGGCTTTGTGGGGTCTGTGCCCCTGCAGGTGAGTTAGGTGTAGGAATGTTTTCAGAATCAGGAAACCACAGGGGCCGCCTCATGCACTATGGGTTCTCTTTAGTTGTCCAGACGTGAAGAAGGGCCATAGAGGGCCAGACAAAATGAGACCTCTCCCAGCTATTGGGGATGTTGAGCCTGAGCCTTGTTTTTGCAGGCTAGTGCCCTTCCACTCTCCAGTAAACCATACAGAATGGTTTGTTTTGAAACAGCATGGTCATTTCTTATTTTTCATCCCAGTAGCAGCTGAGAATAATTCACACATCTTTGACCCATTGTGATAAAGGTTAAGACACACACAGCCCACCCCCACCCCCCATGTTGGATAGCTTTATATACTGTGTGCTGGGCACCAGCATAAATGTGCCTGTTAAAGAAGCATTCTTTGGGGGACAAGTTCCCCCCAGCCTCCAAAGAAAAAGACTAATTCCATCACTCTGGCCTTGGGGAATAGCGAGCAAGTTTTGTGTGTAAAAACTACTTTAAAACCAGCTGAGGCCTTTAAGGTGACGCAGTGAAATTTAGAGAAACTATCCCCAATTATAATCTATCCCCATTTATAATCTAAAACCAAGGGTATGTCCAAAAATATAGCATGAACTGTTCCAAATTTGAGCTGATTCTGTGATTGGCTAGAACTGTGTGCAACCATCGAAATAAAGCATGAAGAGCTGTGGATGGTGCAGATAAGAAAACATTCTACCGAGAAAGTTTAGGCATCAGCATGTAGGAGAAAGGAAGAATGTCCCACAGACTGTAAATACCAGCTCCTTTCTGTACCTAGCGAGGAACCCAGGCTTAACCCATCGAAGCATTACCAGTAGGAGGGTAGGCCCTCGGCCTGCGTCAAGGACCACTGAGTTCTGCTTGGGCTCGCAGAAAGAAAATGGTCAGCAGTGTTAGTGCCTGTCTTCTGTCTTAGTGTTTGGGTATATTGGCCTTGGAACCTGTGCCTAAAACGAGCACAGGGGGTCGCCAAGTGTCAGGGCTTCCACTGTGCACCAAAAGGAGGATCCATGGGACTTGGAGCCTCTCTGTCTAGAGCTGCCAGCCTGAACCTGGAGCCTCCTGGCGAGGCTGACTGGAGAGGAGGGCACATGCCCTTTAACTGGCACCCCTTCTGGAGTGCAGTGATACAAACTGCAGATCCTCAGGGATGATGGCATGCCTGTGTAAGAGAGGAGAAACAGTCCCCCCACCCCCCAAATAGGCAAAATCCGGTAGTTTACTGATGTCTTTTGTGTTCAGCCTCTCCTTTCTCGGTCCCACGTGGAGGTTGACTGATGTGCTTAACTATTTCATTTGGTCATTTGAATTTCTAGTCTGTGGAATGAAGAGTCCTTGTGGGACAATTTCTGTTCCTGTTGGGGAGCCCTCAGAAATGAACACAAAACCCAGCTCTCAGAGTGACTCGACGTAGTTCTTGTGGAGGGTGAGCGTCGGAATCAGACTGAGCTCCACCAGCTCAGATGCCCTTTGGCCCCCAGTGGCAGGCAGAGGTGCACTGGGGGGAGGGCAGAAAGACCGAGTCCTCGTGGCATCCCCACGGCTGGAAACGGTCCCCGTGAGCTGTGTGTTCTCTGTGCTTGGTCCTGCCCCAGCTTCCTCTTCTGCCTAAGCTGGCGTCTCCGCCTCAAGCCCCTCCCACCCCTCCCTTTTCTGGAACTTTTCTGTCACTTTAAGTTCTATTTCAGTCAATATTTAACAATATTTTTGTTTCTCAAACCATTAACTTTGCATATTTCTGCCTTAAGTATGTGAAGTTTATAGTGTTAGGATGTGTCACTGGAGAGGTCATTTATTTTGTTAGCAAATGAGTTGATGTCATAACTCTCTTTTCCACTAGATGGCCCTCCTTCCTACATTGGCTTTTTAAGATCTGCTTTTAATTTTTTACTATAGCACTTTTCAAAACAGTTTTTTTAATTGGAGGATAATTGCTTTACAGTGTTGTGTTGCTTTATGCTGCACAGCAGTGTGAATCAGCTGTAAGTGTACATATATTCCCTCCCTCTCGAACCTCCCACCCACCCCTCAGTTTGGTTTCTGCACACAGTCAAAAGCAAGAATCCCAAAGAACTTTTGATGTTTTAAATATTTGGTTTTTTTTTTAATTTAAAAATAACACACCTATTACTAACATAAATGACATTTTTGTGAGAAATTACCACCAAAAAAGTTAGAACAAAAAATGATACTGTTTTAGCATTTTACAAGTCTCCTTAATGTCTAATGTCTAGTTGAATAGGCAGCTATTAATAGGTTCTTATAGCTGCTTCTGTGTTCAGTCTGTTGCATTAGGTTGTTTTCGTTGAAGAATTTGAGGAAACTCTGGCGTGATGCAGGCAGATTATTGGAAAAAGAGTATTTTGGTAGCCCTGCAAGTCCTTATGGATGTTCTTTGACGCTTCATCAAAACTCAACAGATGGTAGTTTCCTAAAGGTTAGTTGCAACAGGAATATGAATCCTTATCAATGAACTGTTCGTTCTCTGCTTCGTTAAAATCCTTGGGTGTCTCCCACTATAAATGCCTCTTTTTCTCCTACTTGATATCACATCATCAGACACTGATGATTTGGACAGTGTCGGCTTACTGCATAATGTGGGTCCCCTAAATGTTGACACATTTTGTTCTACAGTGTCCAAAAAAAATGCTTATTTGTTAACAACATTACTGATCTCATCAGACAAGTCAATAAATATCAGAAAGCAGTCGTGCTCACAGTGGGAAGTAGGTACTTTCTCAGATTCTAGTCTTTGCTTGAGAATTTGAATCTTATTGCCAATAAATAACCATGAGAGACAGATTTAGTCTTTAAGAAAACACCCGCCAACTACGTGAGTCTGAATAACTGTAGTTTGTCAGTTACTTTTTCAAGTGGAAATGATGTTCCGTGAAGAAAGCAGCTAGTTCAGCTTGTAACCCAGTCACACAAAATGTTTTTTTTAAAAAAAAGGACTCAGAGAAGTCAAGGATCGAGGTCAATCATTTTTACTGCTCCACCAAGGATATTGTTAAGTGAAATTGACTTTTTTTTTAAAACCAAGATTATAACTACTGCTAAATCTGGTGCAGCTGCCTCAATTTATTCTAAAGGACCAACAAGTTAACATTTTTACTTCTGTAAATGTAACAGTGAAAGTAAAGTTGCTCAGTTCTGTCCGACTCTTTGTGACCCTACGGACTGTAGCCTACCAGGCTTCTCCATCCAAGGGATTTTCCAGACAAGAATACTGGAGTGGGTTGCCATTTCCTTCTCCAGGAGATCTTCCTGACCCAGGGCTTGAGCCTGGGTCTCCCGCATTGCAGGCAGACACTTTACTGTCTGAGCCACCAAGGAATCCTGTAACAGTGAAAAGGGCAAATCAGTGTCTTACTCAGTATTTTAATACAAAGGACTTTTGACCCTGTAGACCCCCAGGGGTCCACAGAGCAACTTTGAGAACCACTGTTCTTCAAAGCCAAAAATCTTGGGTGGGCAATGTTAGTTAACTGTTAGCTGCTTTCATTGCACTCTGCATGTCTGTTGACTGCTAGCCTCACAGGTGTCTTGAGCCACGTTGAGGACAGCAGAGCATCCCAAGGATGATAAACCCACATCATCAAATCTGCCTCCTTTGTTTCATGAGGGTTAACGAAATGTACCAGGCACTTAGCTTTCAGTAGTTAGTTGTGATGACCAGCGCCCCCTCGGCTCGCTTCCCAGACCAGCCACACGTGTCACTGGGCCTGTTGTGAGGTTTTGGAAGCTGCATTTTAAACCGGAGTGTGCTCTGAGGAGAGCAGAGGTGAGGGGACTTAAACTCACGTCAGGTGGGGAACGTTAAGGAGCCGGGAGAGGGAAGACCAGGGGCATCGCTGGGAGTTCAGTCTGCTGTTGGGCAGGGCAGTGGCAGCCCCGTGTGGGACTCAAGGAACGCAGAGAACTGCAGGGAAGATGTTTGCCCTCATATAACTAAGTCAAGTGGGCCTTAGGAAGCATCACTGTGAACAAAGCTAGTGCAGGTAGTGGAATTCCAGTTGGACTATTTGAAATCCTAAAAGTTGATGCCGTGAAAGTGCTGCACTCAGTATGCCAGCAAATTTGGAAAACTCAGCAGTGGCCACAGGACTGGGAAAGGTCAGTTTTCATTCCATTCTCAAAGAAAGGCAGTGCCAAAGAATGCTCAAACTACTGCAGAATTGCACTCATGTCACATACTAGTAAAGTAATGCTCAAAATGCTCCAAGCCAGACTTCAACAAATATGTGAACCGTGAACTTACAGATGTTCAAACTGGATTTAGAAAAGGCAGAGGAACCAGAAATCAAATTGCCAACATCCATTGGATCATCGAAAAAGCAAGAGTTCCAGAAAAACATATGTTTAATTGACTATGCCAAAACCTTTGTGTGGATCACCACAAACTGTGGAAAATTCTGAAAGAGATGGGAATACCAGACCACCTGACCTGCCTTTTGAGAAATCTGTATGCAGGTAAGGAAGCAACAGTTAAAACTAGACATGGAACAACAGACTGGTTCCAAATTGGGAAAGGAGTACGTCAAGACTGTATATCATCACTGTGCTTATTTAACTTATATGCAGAGTACATCATGAGAAATGCTGTACTGGATGAAGCATAAGCTGGAATCAAGATTGCCGGGAGGGAGGTGGGAGGGGGGACCGGGATGGGGAATACATGTAAATCCATGGCTAATTCATCTCAATGTATGACAAAAACCACTG